AAACAAACAAAAAACAGCCCTTCTTGATACTTGAAAGCCTTGTGGACTAACTGCAAATAGAAAATCTCCTGTGGAATTACAGAGCTGTTGTACAGATGTTTCCTGGTCAGCACATCCCTCACTGAGCAGATAAATTCTAAATTCTCCTGGTAACCATGGAAGGCACTATTCTATAAACAGAGCCCTAATTCCACTCTATAACTAAAGAACAATGGCCCATCACAGAATTTCTAGAAACAAACTCAAGACCTGTTAGAGGTTGATTAGTATTCTCTATCATTACAAAAACAAAACCTATGCTAGGCACCGGTGACTCAGGCCTGTAATCCTAACTACTCAGGAGGCTAAGATCTGAGGATCGTGGTTCAAGACCAGCCCAGGCAGGAAAGTCTGTGAGACTCATCTCCAGTAAACCACTAGAAAACCGGAAGTGGCACTGTGGCTCAAGCGGTAGAGTGCTTGCCTTGAGCTGAAGAGTGCAGGGACAGCATCCAAGCCAAGGGTTCAAGCCCCACTACCGACCCTCCCCCCCACAAAAACAGATTTTAGCCAGGCATGGTGACACATACTTGTAATCCCAGCTAATCAGGAGACTGAGGCAGTAAGGCTGTGAGCTCAAGGTAGGCCTGGGCAACATAGTGAGACCCCATTTCAAAAAACTAGATGTTGAAGTTCTACTCCTTACTACCTCAGCATGTGATCTCATTTGGAGAGTTCGCAATGGTAATCAAGTTTAAAGTGAGGTCCTTAAGGTGGGACAAGGCAATATGGCTATGTCTTTATAAAAAAAGGGACATTTACATACAGAGAAATATACTCACAGAGAAGACAATATGAAGTGACACAGAGAGAAAATGTGTGAAACAGATCTTTCCCTCATTCCTCAGGAAGAAACAGCCTGTGACACCTTGATTTTGGACTTCTAGCCTCCAGAACTAAAAGACAATAAGGCAATGAACTACAAACCCACCTGGTTTATGCTCCCTCCCTCCCTCCCTCCCTTCCTTCCTTCCTTTCCTTCCTTCCTTCCTTCCTTCCTTCCTTCCTTCCTTCCTTCCTTCCTTCCTTCCTTCCCCCCACCCCTCTCTCTCCTTCTTTTCTGATGGTAGTGGGGCTTGAACTCAAGGCCTGAGAATGCTGTCCCTTAACTTTTTTACTCAAAGCTGGCACTCTACAACTTGAACCACATCTCCACTTTTGACATTTTTTTTTCTGGTTAATTGAATATAATAGTCTCATGGACTTTTCTGCCTGAGCTGGCTTCAAACCTTGGTTTTCATATCTTAGCTTCCTGAGTAGCTAGGATATGAGCCATCCCAGCTTGTTGCGTTTTCAACAGCAGCCCTAGCAAATGAATACAAGGCCTTATACTTTTCCTTCCTTGTTCTATTCTCTTCACATGAGCCTGTACTTCACACTTCTTATGGGGAAAGAGCATCTGAATGGAAGTAAAATGTGATGTCTCCTGGACATGTGTGGTCAAGAACCCCCCTCCCATCATCCTCTACTTCCCCATATCTCCCACTTGAATGCACCTCTCTCTGCTGAGTCACCAACAGCCAGGGATTCTTAAACTGTTGTCCTCAGACATAAGGGCGTCCCCCAGTGCACCTTCCAGAAAGTTAAGCCTGGTGACAAGTGTCTACAACCAGGTACTATAAGATTTGAAAAAGGGATTCAGAATCCTCAGGACACTTGCATTCTACTATGGGAAGTATGATTCACACTAGTGAGGTAAAAAAGCATTTCTCAAGCCCCAGGCTTTGCAAGCAAGCCACCGTCTTGATTTTTCTGTTGTCTGAGCTCCCACTAGTGGTGAGCCTGAGGACTCATGTGGTGAGGGGGTGTAGGGCCGGTGGTTTACAGCTTGCAAATCTTCAGCATGTTCTACAAATCAGGGACAGTGCCTAGGCCCTGAGTTTAAGTCCCACAACTAACAAAAACAAAAACCAAAGAGGTAGAGGCAGGACAATCAGGAGTTCAAGCAGGCCTGGGCTACATA